AGTACTAGCATGAATCAACCTTCTAAGCCTAACCTTAAGGATCTTCAACTTGTACCCATTGATATAGTACCTGGAAATTGGTTCATAAGTTATTGGCACTAAATTTATTAAGTATATGAAAGTTAATCACAGTAATTATATCGGAGAAAATGGATCATCTAGAATCAAAAAAAATTAATGATTATTTTTTGCTTAATTTTAATATGATCATAATAGAACAAATAAATACTTAATACACTGATAATAAATAAAATTTTAATTTAAATTAGAAATTTAAAGTGACTCTATAAAGCAGAGAAAATTATGTAATTTTTAATTTTTGCAAGATAGTAAAATACATAGTTTTACATTTTAACTCTAAAATTATCTGGTTAACACCTCTTACAGGTGATGCCAAAACCACAATATTAGTACTTTTAAATTCTTTTTTTCCTAACAAAGTTTCTAGATTGAATTCATCAATATTACCTTAACTTTTTTTTTTTTTTCTTAGAAAATACTTTTAATTACTATTAAATTTGCCAGTATCATGACAATACTATTTAAAATTTGCCAAAGGCAAAGATTTTGCTAGACAATTTAATGTTCAATTACGATAGACGTATCTAAATAAAAAAATTTTGATTAGTACGTATTAAATTTTTTTTTTCTAGTTTTATTATTGAGACATTGAGACATACGATTTTATCATTTTTTTGTATCTGGAAATATACTTTTAGTTACTTGCCAATTATTTTTTAATCATACTAGGTGCTCAAAGGTAGTAGGTAAAAGCGATGTTTTTGTCATCGTATTTCCAGCATCACTAAAAAGCCTTTCACTTGCAGTCGAAGTTGCTGGGATGGCCAAATACTTTCTAGCCAACTTACTTAATACAGAAAACCGTGCTTGATTATTGCGCCACCAGGTTAGTGAACATTGATTCCACAGAATTTCTTGAACTCCAAGATAATCTGAAACTTCTAACCTTGGGCATCTATTATGAAACATTGAAGCTAATAAGAAATTAGAATGATTTTGTAAATTATTGTTTTCTTCAACACCATACAGAACCTGTGACTTCTTATATTTAGTTTTAAGCAATTCGAAAGTTTCATTTTTTAGAGATTCTGACATAAAAGAAAGAGGCTTGCACCGAAGATCCAAGAGCATTGCCAACATTGCTTCTTTACTAGGCATATTCTAATAATGCAACATTATATCATATAATGCTAACTTTATTTTTTCTTTAAGATTTTCATAATTTTGTAGATTATTAATATTAATTCGACGACACTTTTCGTATGATTCATAGTTTTCTTGTGATTCATCCACATAAATGATATCATCCTCAAAAATATTATCGGAAGAATCAAAATCTGTATTTGAAGTTCTAGCAAGTGAGAGAAGCCCTTGTTCAATTACGGTAATCACACCATACATAAAACTAATAGTGAAATATTTGCTACCTCCCAAAAGTTCGGTTGCTTCAGCAAAAGGTCTCAAAATTGCAGTTAGTGATATTATAGCATTCTATTCATCGTTTATTAGATTAATTTTTTCTAGACAAGAACCATCTTTTCGAGTTTGCAAATTATTATTCAGGGTTAAATTAGCAATCATCATACTAATAATATCTGAATTTTTAAAAGTTGTTGCCAAGTAAGATATGATGAGTTCTATCTCGTGAAAACATCCGCAATAATTCGTAATTGATGGTTGTTATCTTTTAGATCCTAAAATTACAAGTAAATTGATATATGTTGTGCATTAGAATTCTAGAGTTCTATTAACAAATATCGCCTAATTTATTAGAAATATTTAATACTAAATACTAATTTATTATATATACTTCATTCTTTAATATTATTACAACAAAATTTTTTAATAATAAAAATAATGCATCAATATTTCATTTAAATAACATATTTAATGTCACTAATACAAAATATTATATTTCCACCTTTACCCAATCTAGACTTCAATAAAATTCTAATCCTGCACTTACTATATTTTCAAATCGATGCAGGTTTTTTGAGCGTTGATTAATCTTTCTGTTTGTTTAGGCGTAGTAAAAAAGAGCATAAGTCTTTTAGCATGTGCTATAAGAACCTCAGCATCTAACAATTTCTTCCTAATAGTATATTGTAGGGTATGGGCTGCACATAGAATTCAAACAATATTTGGTATGAACTTAGCAGCCTTAATTATGTTGCTCTCATTGTCTGTTGTGACAGTAAAAATTTTATTTGTTAATTTCTAATCGTCAATTATAGAATTTAATGTTTCAGTGATTGCCTTGCCAGTATGCGAATACGGTAAATACTTTATTGCAAGAACAAATTCATTTAATTGAAAGTTATTATCAATAAACGAACAGGTAACTCTGAAATATCCTATACGATTCTGTCCTATCCACAGATCATACATCAAAGAACAAGTTATAACATTATTATGAAGTACTTCTTTAAGAATTTCCTTGAAATTTAAAAAAGCATCTGTAAGCAATTTTCAGGTATGCCTTTCACAAGACAATTGGTAGTAAGAATCAAATTCCACCAAAAATTTAGTAAAGCTAGCTCCTTCTCTTATATTGATTGGCAATTGGTTCTTGATCAACATACTAATAAACTTTGATCTCTCCTTTCTTTTCGCTTAAGATTGTTTGCAGCTATTTTTTAAAATCTCTCATCAATATTTGTTTGTTTAGGTTGCAATTGAAGATTTTTTTTGTGAAATGTTTCAGTAATTTCATGTTGTGATACCAAGTGGCTAATAAAATTACCTGTTGAACTGTCTGTTGATCCTATTAAATAGCCATATAGTTGAAGTCTATTAGCGCTATTAATTTTAAACAAATATCTAACTATTTGTTTATATGGTTGTACATATTTATATAGTTGATAATAACTCTATATCCAACTTTTTCCAGGTACTATATCAATGGGTACAAGTTGAAGATCCTTAAGGTTAGGCTTAGAAGGTTGATTCATGCTAGTACT